ACAGATGAAAAATGTGAAGAAACATTTCCTTTAGAGGTCGTTACATCTGACTATTGTCATTCATCACCTGACATCAGAAATCCATTGGCACGGATTGTTACAATTAAGGTAAATAGTATTATTTCGCAACCGGTATTAACGATAGACTGGCTGTGCCAGTGGTTGATACATTTTTTAAACTTAGAATTATGGTGCTGAAGAATACAGACAAAACTGAACAATAAAACTGTGTGTCTGTACGGTATATTAATAATAGCCTGCCATTGAACATTATCCCATGCTATTTCACATCCTTGACAGCTGTTTTCCTCTTTAAACTTTTGTTCTTAAGGGGGGGGGGGGGGTGTAAAAGGACTGCATTTCTCAGTCACACAGAACTGGTAAAATTTTTGTCTTAGATTTTCTAAGATTTAATATTTTGAAAAGTAGATGAACATTTTCCGAACTGAATCTTCATATAAGTAACTTTACTTATTTCATGCTCGTATCCAGTTGTGAAGCATTTATTGTTATAGGTGAAACTCGGCAGACTTCCGTTGAATAAACATGCGAGAGACAAGATACTGAGGCTGGTCGGGGAACGTTACAACCCTGAAAATGATGTCTTAACAATAATGACAGATCGCTGTCCCCTTCGCCAGCAAAACTTGGACTATGCCCATTATCTTTTGACTGCTTTATTTCATGAGTCATGGGTGAGTATTGCTCGTTCGTTGTTTTTTATATTCATATGATGTTCTGCTGTGTATGGATTCTACCCATTCTGAATTAATAACCATCTTCTAAATTATCTTGGTGTCTCTGTATCCTTTTAGTGTATGTTGAGAATTGTTTTTGGATTCCATTAATATCCATCCTGAGGTTGATTAAGAGGTGTCTCTTTAGTCAAGTGCCTGGTAGCTGGCTGGAGCAGGTACTTTTCCCTTTGCGTCGTACGCATATGGGCTGTATAGCCCACCCAGCAAGAAAGTAAGATTTTGCTGTCTAGTGGAAGAATATTAAATTTCTTAAGCAATTCCATACGCAGGGCTCTCGTTTTAATGCCTGCCGTTATTCAAATGATTTTATTTTTAATGTAAAATACGTTCTTGCGGTCTGTTGAGTTTCCCCAGAAAATAATTCCGCGTAACATGATTAAATGGAAATAAGCGAAGTAGACTAATTTTAAAGTTTCTGTGTGCAGTTGAAAAGTCTTACATACTTTGCCTTTCAGTTTCCTGGAAAGAAAGTGTTGATGAAAGTGATTCATGTTGTTTTTTTTTCACTCACTTTTTGCAGAAAATAGAACCATGGGAGAGTGAAAAGAGCGAAGCAGATATGGAATATTACGACTGGGAAGCTAGTGCGTCCCGTAAAAGTGTAATGAGGCTTCTGTCCTGGAGCCCAGACCAGGATGCAGTACAGATATCTGCTGATTTCATTCTGTCAGATTTAACAGAATACAAAGAAGCAATTTCAAAAATTATGAATGAAGGTACGGTAGAACTCACATTCTTAAAAAACACTTTATTGTTAAATAAGTACATATAAAGAATGCAGGTAAAGTAAGGCATAATATATTTAAAATTTTGGTTACCATAATCGGATTTGGTGTTTGCGATTACTATCGTCATCGCATGATTCCGAATCAGTAAGAATTTCATGAACTTATTCCCTAGTTAAATTCGTGTGTTTTGTTTATTACATCTAGTGCTGATGGCTAACTTTGTTTTATAAAAAAAAAGGAAAGCTGTCCCACTATACGCCATGTAGGCGCTTGACCTCAGCACTAGATGGGGGTGAGTGGTGAGTATCACTCCCCGGCCACGCTTTACCCCCAAAAAAGGACCCTGGTACCCATTGGATAGGAGGCTGGGTGGGCCCCAGAGCCGGTCTGGACGCAGAGGCTAGAGGAAAGATCCTCTGCTCCCGTCGGGGACCGAACCCCGGTCGTCCAGTCCGTAGCTAGTACTGACTGAACTACGCTGGCTCATAACTTTATTTTATGCCAACTACATATTTTATGAGCATTCAGATTGTGGGTGTGAAATCATCTTAAATGTAATACCGACAAGTTGTATTTGCTTTCTAGGTGAAGAGGAGTATACACTAAATCGATATAAAGAGGAAGTGAAGAAGCTCTTGTCACTACAAGATGTCAGCAGTACAGAATAAATAGATATTGTTAAGTCATAGTGAGAATAGTGAAACAAAGAGCTGATGGATTTGAATGAAATTTATTACTGAGGCTACTTCACTAAACTTTTTTGATCAATTTTAATTTGGTTTGTGTTGGTCCAATATAACTTACTTGATGTGAAACTCAGATTAAACTGCGGTACTCAGAAAAATTGTCACAAATGAAATGCAGAACTTGTTAAAATGTACAACTTTTATTGTAAACATTGTTTAATATGGTGAATATATGACAAAATAAAAATAAAAATTGTCTCTATGCAACAATATATTTGTGTCTGTAATGAATGAACATTGATCCCAGTGACTTATGGAAAATCACAAAGAGCACATTTGGAAAATATATTTACTCCATTGTACTGTAATAGTTCCCAAAATTTGCTCTCCATTTACCTTTTCCTTTAAAGATCAGAACCTGCACATGTTTAGATTCCCCCCTCAACCAGGTATTCTCCTGCACATTCTTCCTCAGACTCTAATCACTAATCATTATTTTTACTCTAACTACACATCTCAGTTACGCACCTGAAACATTTTGTCTGCCCATAAATATTAAGGAAGTTTTCTCGACACCACAGCTTTGGAACCACTACACTCGAGGAACCTAGAAAATCTTACCTAAAAATTTGTATTTAGACCCTGAGAATCATATTGAAGAATTATTATTTATTCTTTGCGTGATGCACATGAAGTGAACAATCATAGAGTTGAACATGTCTGTCTGTGTGATTGAACTCAAAAACTAATGGAGAGAATTTTAGGTAATTTGGTATGGATATTATGTCTTCGGAAGCTACCTCAAATTTGCACATTTCTAATTCACTACAATTGGTAATACAGACATGGCAGACACGCAGACTTGTGAGGTGGAAGCGACCGACACTATGTAATATAGGATCCTGAAATAATGTGTAATAACCACATTTGTTATTCTTTCAATATTTCATACATAGTAACTCTGTGTTTACGAGTTACTGCATACTAAATTTCAAATTCCTAGATCATTGGTTATTGCCAGATGGAAATCTAAATATAGATTTTTTGCAGGTATCTCATTTGCATACTCCAAGAAAATTATCTTAAAGTTTTCAAAGATAATGCAACATATCAGAACCCTACAAAAATGGCACTGGTGTCAAGTCTCTTCTCACAGATTACTGGGCATCATGTTGGTATTACTGATGGCAGTAAGTTAAGAAGTTCAAAGGTGGAGTGGCTTCTAATGGCATTTTTAATTTTAATATTAATCAGTTTTGGCTTAAAAGTTACTAGGAGAGAACAAACGTATGAATATCATGATAACAAAAACCCTGTCTCTTTTTGTAAAACACAATAATCGGTCTGTTTGTGTGTCACCTTCTCACTTCATAATTTTATGGTTCATGATATCCTTGTTCTAGGAACCTTATCTATACAAACAAACTTGGTAAGATAATGTGAGGCTTGAGGTTCTCACAGTGATAAGTATTAGGATTGCTGTTTCTTGGGATGTAGCACCATGTAGTTGGCAGTTACTACTGACTAGTGTTTCAGAAGAGCTTACTGCCTCCATCATCAGGATGATTCCCTCTCTCTGACATTAATAAAATAAAAGTATTTAAATTGGCTCAGTATATATTTTGCGGTTTATGTTCAAGCAAACACAGATAAAATTCCTTACACAATAACAGATGTGTGTAGTATGATACTAGGGAACTTCATAATTCATTCTTACCTCTATATTCCATGTACAATTAAGTAAAAGTATGTCCATTTAAAGTGACTTTAAATCTCAAGTCTCGTGTGATAGTCAGCACAAGAAATCATAAGGGAAAACTTGGTGAAGCCTTGCTGAAAAGACATTAGTTACCAATTGCTGTAGACAGCAGATGTAAGTATGTTTACTTTGCATTATCAGATTTTCATATTGAGAATATGGGACACAACATTAGGAGTGAGAATAAAAAACTAAATGAAGAGAAGTTTAACAATATAATTTATTTGGACTGCACTTTTATTGCTTTTATTTTAGTGAAACTAGTTATACAATAATATTTCTAACAAGACTATTTAAAAGTACAAGTACAGATAAATTGATGCTATATACTATTTAGATTTCCATTATATTTGTTTGAGCCTTAGAGAAGCTAAATTATTTTATGTTAGAGGAGGATCATTCCATTTTACTAAACTTAGTGTACTCATAAAGTTTCATTATATAAAAGTATGTAAGGCAGCATTCAAAGATATATTTTTATCTATCTCCTGCTCCAATAGAATTTACTTAAATTAAAAAATATTAAATGCTGTAGATATATGTGTGAATAGCTGCAGAAACTATGTATTTATGTTTGTATTAGTATTTTATGTGTACATAAGTGCTGGTATTCATATTATGACATGTTCCACATTTATGGCAGGGAAACTGTGGATTAGTGCCATTGTTTGGTAGTAATTAATTAATTATATATGGCTGGAAGGTGTTATATCACAAGCAGGATTGTAGAAAAGAAAATTTATAGTTGAAAATGTATAATATCACCTTCAAGCGAGTTTCCCCACTAAGTTCTATTTAATTTGGTGTTAATTTGGCAACCATGATTTATGTAAATGTCGGTATCGTGTATCGTGTTCCGTAAAAGAACTACAGTGGCATGTAGAAAACCTACCGATAGTGGAAATAATGGTTTCCCGTAAAGTTCTGGGATCGAAGGATGAGAGAAAGGCTGACATTTCCGAATCGCTTTATCGTGAACCTGGACTAAAATTTTCTGACGATGGCACCGTTACGTATTTCTGGTAAACCACATAAATTAAAAGTGTTTTTGGGAGCAATGATTTGACAGAAAGCCCACGTTTCGTTACATGTAGTTAGACGAGGCCATGTAGTTCCAACACAACTTGTGTGTTCTCCAAGCATTTTTTGAGCTCATTTAGTAGATTAGAGGTTTTGAAGATTAGTGATAAAACCATAACCTGAAAAGATTGACTCCAATTACGATGTTGCCCACGTGACTTCCATGAATATTACTGGCCTGTATTACACCAATGTAACCTACCTTAACGTGATCTTATTTATTTATTTATAGTTTATTTAAAAACTTTCATACTTTATGAATTGTGAAGGTCTATCAACATATTTACAAAAACCCACCAATTATTTTTCCTACCCCTGTTTTGGTTTGTTTACCATTTGAGGGTTTAGGTGTTTGTCAGATTTTTTGGGGGAGGAAGGTGATTACATCAGCTGAATATAGTCCACTCATTCACATCTTATTTATCTAATATTCTTTTTGATGTTATCATTGTATCAAGGTCTCCCAAGTTGCCTCATCTCATCATCAGGTTTTTAAACTAAACTTTTGTATGCATTTATAATTTACAGGTATAGATGCTTTCCATCATATCCTCATTAATTTAATCACCTTAACAATATTATGGGAAGAATAGAAATTTCAGGCTCCACATTATGTAATTTCTTTTCATTTTCATGTTACATTCTCTTTCTTAGAGCGTATGTTCTTTTCTCGTAACGAGAGACCAGGTTTTACTCCGTACGTGTTTGATGTAAGAAATAAGTAGTCACATTATTTTAGTACATGTTATTTAGAGAAATAGGTATTTTAGCTATTATAATAGCTAATTTTTGTAATACATAAACGATGATTGGTTGAAGTGTATTCTGTTACTAATTGGTTCTACATGTTTTTGTTTTGTTTCAGGCGTGCCCATACACTTACAGTTCTGTTTGTACTTGTGAGTGTTCTGATTTATGTGGCTGTGTTTGAACCTGTCTGGGATGATACTTCATATAACACTAAGAGGTATGGGCATATTTTGTGTATTTTGTCCCCAGAAATGATGACAGAAGCTGAAATAAAACTGAGTGCTACAGATGTGAATAGACAGTTTTATATGCACATCAAACACAAACAAAATTAAATTAGTATGTCTGGGATTGAAGACGGCAGCCATCTTCAGACTCACTGCCATGAAAACCTTAAATCTGACATGCCTAGACCAGACAGTAGAGTGACTGGCTGCATGTTCAGTTTCTGGTAGGGACAAAGATTTTCCTCGTCTGGATCACCTGTGGGGTCCACTAATTCCCTTTCCAATTGATACTTTGTGATTAATTACCTCAGTGTAAGCAATCAGAGGGTGAAGCTGATCACTCACCCCTGTCTAATTCTTTTGCTTGCATCTTTACACCATTTTGTGTGTCATATCTACATAATATATTTTCTACGTAGGATTACTGGGAAGTGTCTCTTTAAGTATTGTAAATTCTCAGGGCATTGTAGTAAGGACACAAGGCTGATTGTCCATTGTAGATCACAGTTTGATGGGTTTTTTTTTGTTTATTGACAGTTTATTATGAAGGTTGCTTCACAGTGACATATTCAACCAACATGTGCAATGCATTTTGCTGGACTAAGTACAAGAATTGTTGAGATATTAGATGTTCTTCATGCCCTAGGATGCACTAAGAACAACCTTATGGGCTGTTCCACATGATTCAACACTATTGTTAGAACCCATTGTAGTCATGTTCACTGGTGGAAGCTAATGTTGCAAGGCATTTGCAGTCAGGGAAGGAAATGCTAATTGTCTTCCTCCCCTCCTCCTCCGCCTCCTCCTTTCTGGTCCGTATTCGGTCCATGGCCTCCTCAATTCTCCTCTTCCGTTCGGTCCTTCTGTTAGGTCCGTCTGTCCGAGGCTTTGATCGAGGTTTCGAAACATCTTCCTTTTTACGGTGCAAGGTTGTTGGTCTTGCGACCAACCCCCAACCTGGAGGACCAGGGTACCTGTCTCAGTCTGACCTCTCCCCCTCGACCAATCTGGCTAGGGAGGCCCTACCAGTAGCTCTTGGGGTCACTGAGGTACTCAAGCACCACCACCATGACAAGGTGCAGGTACCATTAAGTGGGGAATGCTAATTGTCACCCACTCCCCATTTGCTGGTGACATTTTTCTCTATTAACAAAGGCAGCAGTAACTGTGTTTGTGCAAGAATGGCATAATATGCAGCAATAACCCATGTAGTACAGTGCAAGAAAGACCCACAACAAACCCAGAACACAATAGTGCAGCAGCGACCTACATGATGTGGAGTGAAGAATGACTTTGGATTGTCGGTGAACTCGTGGGAATATGCCGTTCAAGTATTGTTTATGCTGGATATTAATGAACGTGCTCTTCGATTGTTGCAGAGGTCTCGTGGCTAGCGTGTTGGCTTTCATCCTCTTAGGAGTGACAGTCACACCTGATGGAGTATTCAAGCGACCACACCCTGCCGTGTGGAGGTTTACGTTTTGTTGCAGTATTGTTTATGAACTGGGCCTCATATTTACTCTTTTCCAGGTAGTTTATGTTGCGTTAACTGTGTGATTTTCTGCTGATTTAAAGGTCAGGCATTATTAAAATCAGTTTTAATTGCCATTAAAGTACATTTATTGTTTGCATTTGTTGCATACCGTGCCACGGTGGTCTAGCGGTTAGAAGGCTGGCCTTGTAATCCTGGGGTCTCGGGTTCGAATCCCGGCGGTGCCCGAATTTATAACGTGTGTTGGGCAAGGCCGTGGTCTAGGCAACACGGAGTTTTCCTCCGTGGCATCCCAACAATTACTCGATTCACACACAGAAGAAGGCAATGTCACACCACTTCTGGATCATCTGCCAAGAACGTATATGAACAGGTCCCAGTCCGAGAAAAGGATGGAAGGATCCTGTTCATATGGACCTGTCGTCAGACAGAACATTACAAATAAAATTAAAAAAAATTGTTGCATGAGGGGCATAAACTGAATGCATATCTGTCAGTGTGTTTTATTTCTAAAACCAAAGATTTTAATAAAATTTGATATGGGGAGCAGTAGCTGAATTTACTTCATTTTAATCAGAATGAAATAGGGGGTTTAAACCTCCATACTACGTGGTTACCGGCAGGACTCCTTGATAAATGGTTTAGTGGTGTGGCAGTGTGATGCGTGACAAGCCATGACAGACGGTCAGTAAAGGTTAAAAATATTGACATTTAATTTTCAGACTAAAACGGATGCAATTCATTTACTAAATCATATTGATTCTAAACTTGGAGTTCCATTGGAAGAGAAGAGTTATGGTGGAAACTGTCGTATTTATGATGAAGATGTACCTGAGGATCCGTTCCACAATATATGGGTTAGTCGTCTAATGTATTCACTTCTGTAAGATCCATAATCATCATTGATGTCATATCTGTGGTTTATAAATAGTTGCCATTATGGATTTATATGTTGTAAACATCTTTTTACAGGGATTTCTTATATTTTTTCTGCCTTATAATTAAATTAGTGTTTGTTTTGGAATCATGGCATATGTAATTCATTGTATATGGTTTTCTGATTCATATATTCTTACTTTACTTCGTAAATTTATTTATATATAACTCTTTTCTTGTCACTAGTTATGTTCTCTTCATATGTCAGTAAAGAAAAATGTAAAAGGATTGTTAAAATCAATACTGGAAGTTCTAAAGTATAATAGACTCTAGGATATGTCCCTGTAGATTTGTTGGAGACATGGTTTTATTTACACAAATCATAGCCACACATAAGAAAAATACAAAAAACTTGTTGTTGGGTTACTTTCAAAGTGCGGTGCATTTGTACATCAAGACACAGATTGATAAGAAATTTGTGTCGATTAGCAGTTCTATGTAATTTGATGTTTTATGTTTGCATACTCCGAGGGAAGAACGTACATTACAAATGTTTAAAAAGTGCTCAACAATATTTGGATTTAAGAGAGATAAAATGGGGGAAATTAGGATGTTACATAACAAAGAACCTCGTTATTTGTACAGATCACTTAGTATTACGTAAGCAAGGCAGTTAAGATGGACTGTATGTATAAAAATTTTCTTGGGAGGCGAAGTCTCTTAGAAAACAGTCATTTGGAAGACTGAGGAGATATATGAGGGTCATGTTAAGATGAATCTTAAGGAAATACATCGTGAGGATGGGAGGTGGTCGGAACTTGTCCATGTTCACATACACAGGTTTTGGTATTAGTGGTTTTGAAACTTAGCTTCTTTTACCAGAAATGGTGAATCTTAGGTTATTTAATTATGCAGCTGTTTCAGTCATGTTAAATGAGATGGCAAGATTTTTGTTGATGCTGGACAAGGTAGGATTTGGAATAATGTGATTATGGCATATTTCAAGGGGATATCCCAGAATTTGGCTGGAGAGAACAGGAAAACCACAGTTAATCTGTTATGTTACTGAGACTCAAACCAGATATCTCCCGAACACATATCTGCAGGCTAAGTTTACCACCGCTGTATGAATTAGGAGTACCAAGTTAACAGTACCGTGTGTGCATTGCAGGATAAACTCGACTTGTTTGTGGCAACACATTTCTTCGGCTGGTGGCTCAAAACTCTCGTGCTGAGGGACTGGTGGCTCTGCACCGTGTTTTCGATAATGTTTGAGATACTGGAGTACACACTGGAGCATCAGCTGCCTAACTTCAGCGAGTGCTGGTGGGATCATGTGAGTAGGATGAGTGTATTTGTTTAGTTTAAGGATTTTGTAGCTCAGTTAGCACATTCATTCATTGAAGGTTGGATGACTTGGGTTCAATTCTTGGCAGGGGGCATGAAATTTTCTCTTTTCCTCCACATCCAGACTGCCTGAACAGTCTCAGTCTCCTGTCCTGTGTGTGTATCTGGGGTGCTTTGTCGAGGAGTATTGTGGTTTGAGTATGAAGTTAGCCACTTGTCTCCTCCAGATGTCGAGGTTAAGAATCCTCCTGTCACATTAGCCCCTGCATACCTATTGGTTATGAAAATGTGTAGATCCTGGAACCAGTCTTATCATATCCATTGCACATTATATTATGTAAGATTTGAGGTTTTTGCAGCGATTCATCGCCCTGATGATGGAGGCAGTATGACCTCTGAAACGTTGGTGACGATCCACCAGACTACACAGTGCAACAACCCAGAAGACAGAAATCTTCACATTATATTACTTTAAAGAATAAACATTATACTGTGGAGCGTGCTTTAGAATTTCTACTTGAGTTCGTTAAACCAGTATACTGGATCCATTTCGTAAACTGTTAATAATAATTAATGTATCGTATAAAAGTTACGCCACGGTGGTCTAGCGGTTAGAATGCTGGCCTTGTAATCCTGGGGTCTCGGGTTCGATTCCCGGCGGTGGCCGAATTTATAACTTGTGGTGGGCAAGGCCGTGGTCTAGGCAGCCCGGAGTTTTCCTCCGTGGCATCCCACCAATTACTCCATTCACACACAGAAGAAGGCAATGGCAAACCCCTTCTGGATCATCTGCCAAGAACGTATATGAACAGGTCCCAGTCCGAGAAAAGGATGGAAGGATCCTGTTCATATGGACCTGTCGTCAGACAGAACACCAAATAATAATAATAACTTTGTTTTGATACTGTCTTTGTATTCTGCTGTTACATTCTAACAGTTTAATGCAAATGCTTCTATTTTCACAGTGGATAATGGATGCAGCGATATGCAATGGTCTCGGCATTTATTTTGGACTTAAAACACTTCAGTATTTCTCTGTGAAGACATATCACTGGCGAGGACTTTGGAGCATACCAACTTACAAGTAAGAGACACAGTGATATATAATTATTTCAGCTTTTATCTTTCTCGTAAGTGAGGTGTATGGTTATGAAAATGATCCAGAAGACAGGTGATATGGTAGAGAGAAAATTGTAATAATTATGAAATAAATAATGGTGATGTCATGGAGCGTAGATGAAAGTAAAGTGGCCTATAGTGATGTAATGTTTGTACCAAGTTTCATAAAAATGAATCGTTTAGTTCAGAGGTTATTGTGGGAAAGAGACATGGACTCTGTTGATACTACAAGCTTGTCTTCCCTCATAAAGTTATAAAAGAAGACTGAAAACTCTTCTAAGATGGTTAAGGTTATATAATATAGTTGTAAGTGAGTAAGTATCCTAAGTCATTATGCATTTCTAGGGGAAAGTTGAAGAGGTTGGTGGCTCAGTTTGGCCCATTTTCATGGGTTGACTACGATTGGAGGTCTACTTCTAGCCTGGGTCGATGGATTGCAACACTAGGAATTATCTTAGTGGTGAGTTTGACGTAATGGTCAGTGTTAAATTTTCCTTCTGTGATATACAGTTCTCTGTTTTTTCTGATTTGTATTCAGATAGTTTGTGCTTTTTTTAATGTAAGCTATTGTTAACGTAACCTAATACAATATGTCCACCCACAGAACTGTTTTGGTTTCCATTCAGTTGTTAATTATACCACAACATGTTTTGATCCTAATAGGATAGATAATCTTGAGGTGATTAAGTATAGAATAATGTAGGCTATTGAAATTGATGTACTGGATACTGGGTACTGGGAACGACCCGTTCTTCAAGTGCCTGAGCACTGCAGGTCCGAACTTTTCGTTGGCTTGATCCATAGACATTTTGTTAGGACTCCTCGGACGAGGGATCGGCCCGTTGCAAGGCCTCTATCTGTACACAGGACAGCACAACACAGAAAAACGCGGACAAACATCCATGGCTTGAGTAGGGATTCGAACCCACGGTCCCAGCGACCAAGTGGCACAAGGCCCACGCCTCAGACCTCGCGGCTACTGCGGACCCCCGAAATTGATGTGGATATGATAATACGTTTTTAGCTAAATTGGTTATACCATTGGTTATAAGTTGTTAAGGTTGAAATTAAATTATGATTGAAATTAAAATTTCTACAATTATTTAGTGTAGTAACTTCGATAAAAATTCTACTACAAGGATCGTTGTTTACATTTAGGTGTATGTAAATTACATTATATAATTATTAGTTGATGTTCTCTGTATTATGTGTGTATATATATCTTGTGGCGCAAGTTGTGTTCTGTGTAAGTTTCCTTCTTTGAAATGTTGTGTACTATGGCTGAGCATCAATTCTGGGTGCTTAAATGTTGCAAATTGTGGGGTTAAATGAGATTTTTATTTTTAGTCGGTGTTGGGTAGATTCATAGCGGAACTGTGTATGTGAGCCATTATTTTAGACACCTATGTCTTTCAGTTATAAAGTGAGATAGAGCTTTATAATGTGGAAAGTATCTGTAAATTAATCTGAACAGAGGTACTTACTTTCAGTATAGGCCCCATTTTCGGGTTGCAACAAAATTCATTAAATAGTTTGTGTAATGAAACATGAGTTTTGGCAGACAGACATGATTTTTGTAATATGTGTTCACTTTATGCACTTTCTACGAAAGATTTGTAGAAATGGCTTCCCTCTTGCTGCTAAGTAATTTTGGCTGCGTGTCTTTCGCAGTTCCTGTTGGCTGAGTTAAATACATTCTACCTGAAGTTTGTGATGTTGGTGCCTCCAGAGCATTATCTTAACCTGGCACGCCTCATCCTCCTCTTGTTGTGGGGTGCTGTCTCAATGAGAGAAGTGTATCAGTACCTTGATGATCCGTAAGTTCAATGAATTTGAGCTGTACTTACCCATAATTATTTTTATAAATCTATTACTGAACTGTGACCCATCTCTGTAACTGAGATTATTCGAAAGTTCGGATTGCATAACCATGTAGTTAGTGCGTTCTGTTTTTATGCTGATGGTAATGTGTAACCAGGTGTCTGCATTTTATTTGTTTCAGAGATTGTACCAAAATTGGTCGGCAGTCATGGATGACATTAGCAATAATTTCAACAGAGTTCCTTATCGTTGCCAAATTTGATTGGGAGACGATAACAAAACCCATTCCAAGGTCAGTTTATTGAACCTTTGTTTTCTGTATTATAAAAGCAAAGTAAGAAAAGGTAACACCGTGATGATTATGGCAGTTTTTTAATTTCAATGGCAGTTTGTTGTAACTTACGTCATCACATTCGGACACTGTGTTGTAATGGTTTTTGGCCAGAATTTCAGAGGTCTTAGTTGTTTGTGCATTCACGGTGAAATTATATACTCATCTTCCTATCTCCATCTTAAATCTTCATGGGCCATGTCGAACCAGCAGATCTTTAGAACAAAGTCCTTTTTGTCTCGTACTGCTTTTGTTTTGCTGCTGTGGTTAAGAAGTGTAACCTCATTTTCGTACTTTTAGAATTTAGAATGGAACATGTTCTCCAGTCAGGACCAAACCATGTGTTCCAGCTATGTCAGTAGTTTATGAGTAGAAAGAAAACAAATGTGTGTATACCATTCTAACCAAAAACATTTCCAGAGACACTGAGCGACAAAGTATTGCTGCTGGGAAACAATATTTAAAGTTTGGACGTTGTTGTTTCCTTATTTGTTGCCCCACCTACCCC